TCGTTTTAAACGATTCGATGTACCCAGTTTGGAGTAAAGTTTCATGAACGATCTTAAGAGACTTCTTCGACGCCACTTTCACATCGCCGTAAACCTTAATTTTGGCGTTTCAGGTGTCGTTTATACATCATGAGACCAACGTCAAAAGCTATCAAGTGGAATACATACGCTTTGCCTTTTAGTCCGGGAATTTGGGTCTCCATCGGTTGGTTGTTGATAGCAACAAGTGGAATAATAATTGCTATAAAAGCAATTGCAATGACAATGTCTGTCAAGTCTTTAGACAGCGAAAGTGCGACGTGCACATTTTCTGATGTGTTTTTCTTCGTGTTTGGAGCTCTCTGTAATCAAGGTTAATCATTATTTCATTATGAAGGCTTTCAAAATGGCGGCGTGTATTATTAAAAATATGAAAAAATTTCATACACTTAGATATCTACATAAAATTAATCTAAGGTGAAGTGAAACACGTCGAGGCATTTGATCGAAGAATCGTCTAAGAATTGTTCTGACACATTCAAAATTTGGATTTTTGGACAAAAATTGTTAACAGCCCAGACCAGAACCAAAATGGCGTCGAGCTCTCATATTTCGATCGATATACAATTATCGAAGGCTCTGATATGAGAATCGAAAGGGTCAGGACAATTTTACGACAATTTAGAATACTCTGGTAATCGATAAACTCGCATTTGAACGGGATAAAGGCAAAAAAAGTGTTGTATACGCTTGTATGCCAAAACGATGGTAATACGAGGTCTCGGAGTGAAGATTTAATTGACCTGGAAATCACAGATGGCGCACGGGGTCCTTCTGCAGTCAATTAGGGCCCCAGAAAGCACGAATCCAGTGGATTTCTGTAGTTTTACTTCGATTTCTTTATAATTATTGTACGAAAACGACAGGTGGAGTATGCCATTTGGTACAATACCCAATATAATTCGACACAGCTGTCAATATAAATACGAACGTCGGCAACGTAGGCATTTAGAAAAATAGTCTTTATCGACGTCGATCATGTTCCTCGACGTGTTTCATTTCACCTTAAACGTTCGATATGAAATAAATTCTTTCAGGAATACCTAATTCGGAATGGGCCCCCATGAAAATCATCCATGTGGTGGTCCACATGACAGCCACTGTCATATTGGCAGCATATTCGGCTTATCTTATCAGTTTCCTCGCTGTCAAAAGTGTCACCATGCCTTTCACTACAATGGAGGGACTTTTAAAGGACGGGACTTACAAATTCCTCGCTGTCAATAATACTGAAGATTTTTTCATGTTCAAGGTAGTTCTCACATAATTAATAATATTCGATAACATCACTATAATATAATAATCATTATATTGGGTTAATACTTATCTCCAAGAAGCGATAATTTCGAAAAGTCTGACGAGTGACGCAATTTTGGCAATCTTTACAAAATTTCTTCTAACAGGTCACCAGCAACCCGGTTTTGAAATTGTTGGGAAAGAAAGCAATGGTTTCGCCGGACAAATTGCCAAAAAGTCATTTAGATGGACTTCGACAAGTCTGTAACAACGAGAAACTTGCTGTGATAGTTTCAGACGGTGCATACCGTTTCTTAAGGAACTATATTAATTGTTCTTTGGAGCCGTTGGATCCCATTAAGGAAGTGACAATCGCCTTAATAGTCAGCAAGAATAACCAATTCAAGGAGATCATTAACAACAAGTTAAATCATCCATTAAACACTGAAAAAGATCCAGTTAATGTTATCAGATGCGCCTGATTAAATGATTTCTAGTTATCATTAAGGGGATATGATAGTGGCATCTTAAGGTGAAGTGAAACTCCTTTCAAATCAGTCAATTCGAATACAACACTTTTTTTTAAGGGTAATAGACCAAACTGTCCGAAACTTTGACACATCACTCCTGATCATCTAAGAATTGTCCTGACACATACAAAATTTGGATTTTGTAAACAAATTTTTTAATTCAGACCAGACCAGAACCAAAATGGCGTCGAGCTCTCATATTTCGATCAATGTATGATTATCGAAGGCTCTGATATGAGAATCGAAAGGGTCAGGACAATTTTACGACAATTTAGAACACTCTGGTAATCGATAAACTCGTATTTGAACGGGATAAAGGTAAAAAAAGTGTTGTATGCGTTTCTTTGCAAAAACGATGGGAATACGAGGTCTCGGAGTGAAAAATTAATTGACCTGGAAATCACAGATGGCGCAGGGGGTCCCTCTACAGTCAATTAGGGCCCCAGAAGGCATGAATCCAGAGGATTTCTAGAGTTTTACTTCGATTTCTTGATAATTGTTGTACGAAAACGACAGGCGGAGTATGCCATTTGGTACAATACCCAATACAATTTAACCCAGCTGTCAATATAAAAACGAACGTCAGCAACGTAGGCATTTAGAAAAATCTTTTTTATCGACGTCGATCAATTTCCTCGACGTGTTTCACTTCACCTTAAGGGCCAATGAAATATTTGTTTGAATTGGGTATATCGAATTATTAAAAATTTTACAACGTGCATATGGGGGTTCGAAGGAAGGTCCTGACACTCATGAAGTTTCATTTTTCATAACATATTTTAAAAATGCTTATAAAGAAATTTAGAAAATTGTAATTTTATGGGTGCCAGGAGTTTTCCCATAGCCTCCATATTCACGTTGTAAAGTTTAAAACGATTCAGTACACCCAATTAGAAAAAGTAATTTTGTGTGGATTTATCATAAAAAGTGTTAACGTGTACAGATAATATTTGATAATTCAGTATCATCATATTATCATTAAGGGGATATGATAGTGGCATCTTAAGGGCCAATGAAATATTTGTTTGAATTGGGTATATCGAATTTTTTTAAATTTTACAACGTGCATATGGAGGTTCTAAGGAAGGTCCTGACACTCATGAAATTTCATTTTTCATAATATATTTTAAAAATGTTTATAAAGAAATTTAGAAAATTGAAATTTTATGGATGCCAGGAGTTTTTCCATAGCTTCCATATTCACGTTGTAAAGTTTAAAACGATTCAGTACACCCAATTAGAAAAAGTAATTTTGTGTGGATTAACATAAAAAGTGTTAAGGGCGCTNCTCCATGTTACGTAACTGTTAGGTTATTACATTGTAACAAACGTTATGTTATTTGTTAGTTTTAAGTTACATAACTGTTATGTTTGGTGTTCAGTTGATAACAATGATGTAAAAAGAAGTCTGAACTATTTCCGTGCATTCGATTGGTTAATATAAAAATTCATCCTTTTTCTAAAATTAAACAAATTACTTGTTTAAGCATTATTGCGCATCCTTGAAAGCAATGCGGTAAAATGATTATTATCTAGATTAATGTAACCGATTCCACTCGATTCAGCTGTTGAATTATTTACGCGATCTCTGATCATTGTTAGGCAACAATTATCATGGCAGTGTCGATTGATCAATTGCTTCATATAATTGTGTAGATTTTTTAATCCGTCGTTAGTGTTTCGCGTATCGCGGAAACGTGTGGATTGTTACTTTCTTGATTAAGGTGGTACGAAAGTGAGAAAATAATTTACGATCCTTTTTTTCTTTTTAACTGAATATTTAGAATCGTTTAACATTTTACGATGTGAATATGGAGGCCTTAAGAAAGATGCCTACACCCGTGAAATTTCAATGTTCACAAAAAAAAATTTGAAAATAAGAATAAACAAATTTTGAAGGAAATTAAATTTCATGTTGACCCAGTGAACACTGTTATATAACTGTTGGATAAATGTTACGTTTTCGAAGCTAACATGTTATGTAGCATAAAAGTAATATGGAAGTCAGATGTTAGTTACTATTTCCAACTCAGTAAGGTAACATGTTATGTAACACGTTATATTAATGTTATGATTTCAGTTACCTTAAAATAATATTCATTTTTCGTACATTTAATAAAAAAGATCACGCAATTTTATCCAAAATTATATAATACTTTATTTATTTTTGGTTTTTGACAATTGTTTGATATTAAATGACAGACCAGACTTTCAATGAAATTATGTAATGGTAATTCCCAGTGAACACTGTTATATAACTGTTGGTTAAATGTTACGTTTTTGAAGCTAACATGTTATGTAGCATAAAAGTAACATGGAAGTTAGATGTTAGTTATTATTTCCCACTCGGTGAGGTAACATGTTATATTAATGATACATTAATGTTATAATTTCAGTTACCTCAAGATAATATTAATGTTTCAAACATTTAATAAAAAAAATAGCGCAGTTTTATCAAACATTATATAATTTTTTATATAATTATTTTTTGGTACTTGACAATAGTTAGATATTAAATGACAGACCAGACTTTCATTGAAATTATGTAAATGATAAACTATCTGATTTTACTTAAAGACAATTAGGATTTCATACGAGTAGTACACAAAATACGACATATATTAATCTTATGACATTTGACGATGAATTATGATAATGACGATGACGATGATGTAATAAAATAAATAACGGTTAGCATCAATGTTGTTCCGTTTTGTTACAAATATGTGCTGCATATACACAGTAATATCAAGACAGTAACATAATGTAAGATGAGAGTAACAAAGCTATGCTACATTTATATAGATACGATAGTAACAAATGTTATGTAACCTGTTAGTTCCATGTTACATAACCGTTAAGTTACTGCATTGTAACAAATGTCATGTAACTAGTTAGCTCTATGTTACGTAACTGTTAGGTTATTACATTGTAACAAACGTTATGTTATTTGTTAGTTTTAAGTTACGTAACTGTTACATTTGGTGTTCAGTGTTGAGGCCTTACTTATTGCCTCATATTCATGGGTTAAAATTACAAACGATTCCGTTAATCCAGTTCAGAGATTTGTTATAAACAATGTTTTTAGACGTAACATTCGTACCCCCTTAAAGACGTTCACCATGCGGCCATTTTGTCTCGTTTTCGGCATCTTTATTTTATCTTGGAGTATGATAATCTCTTATGGGACATGCTACCAATTGTTTATCAGAGACCTTGAGGTTTATAAAGATCTTATCGATGCCGTTCGTAATTATCATAACAATATCTGCATCATTATGCTCCATGGGACGTCACATCCATTAGGGTCTCTAGGTGAACTATCGCGAATTGTTTATAATAATTGTAATTTCATTTGTTTAACGTTGTATCGAAATCCAGGGATTTAATCATGCTTTTGTACAGATTTAAGGACTGGTTTACTGTTGCGGAATTTGCAAATGTATTTGTCCGCGGATAAACATCGACGCACCGTCGTCTTGGATTTCAATACTTTTGAACAGCGCGTAAGTCCATGAACAAATTTTTAGAACTTATGATTAAGGTGAAGTGAAACACGTCGAAGAACTTGATCGACGTCGATAAAGAAGATTTTTCTCAATGCCTACGTTGCGGACGTTCGTTTTTATATTGACACCTGTGTCGAATTATATTGGGTATTGTACCAAATGGCATACTCCAGTTATCGTTTTCGTACAATAAGTATAAAGAAATCGAAGTAAAACTCCAGAAATCCCCTGGATTCATGCATTCTGGGGCCCTAGTTGGCTGCAGAGGGACACCTTGCGCCATCTGCGATTTCCAGGTTAATTAAATTTTCCCTCCGAGTCCTCGTGTTTCCATTGTTTTCGTATAAAAGCGCATACAACACTTTTTTTTGCTTTTATCCCGTTCAAATGCGAGTTTATCGATTACCAGAGTGTTCTAAATTGTCGAAATATTGTCCTGACCCTTTCTATTCTCATATCAGAGCCTTCGATAATTGTATATCGATCGAAATATGAGAGCTCGACGCCATTTTGGTTCTGGTCTGGGCTGAGTTAAATAATTTTGTTAAAAAATCCAAATTTTGAACGTGCCAGGACAATTTTTAGATGATCAAGAGTGATGTGTCAAAGTTTCGAACAGTTTGGTATAATACCCTTAAAAAAAAGCGTATTCGAATTGACTGATTTGAAGGGGGTTTCACTTCACCTTAAAGTGTTAACTTTTCTCCGAACTGGATGTGGCAAACCGTTTCAAAGTTTAGAATGTAACTGTTAAGACTGTAAGGAAGATCCCGATACCCATGAAATTTCATTTTTTTTATAATATCTTAAGAGATGTTAATAAATAAACTTCAAAATTTGGAATTACACAGGTGTCAGGACCTTCCTTATAGATTCCCTGTTATCATGTTGTAAATATTAAAACGATTCGATACAACCAGAGAAAAGTTTCATGAACAATTGATTCCTCAGATGCCACAATCACATCCCCTTAACCTTTTTCCAGATCGGCGAAAACTATATAAATCTCGTGCGTCCATTATTCGTTATCTTGAATGACAACGAGCACACCAGACGCGGATTCCAAAACGTAATAAAAGATGAATTTAGACATAAAATTTGACATTTAGCGTTGACTTGTCAGAAGACACTGTAAATAATTTTTTACAGGTCTCCACATGGATGCAGATATCATATCCGACTTGGTTGATATTCTTCGACAACGGAACAAAAATGGAGGAATATTTTACAGGCATAAACATTCCTTTCGATTGCCAATTTCTCGTTTCGGAAATGAATCCCGAAGGGAGTGGAGAAACGTTGACGGAAATATATTCTTTGGACGAGTTTTCAACATTTAAAAAAGATGTTTTCGGGTCTTGGAGTCCCGAGGGAGGACTTAAGGGTCCCGGAAAATCATTACTTCATCGCAGAACAAACCTTTCTGGAAGGAATTTACGCGTC